ACACCTATTAGAGTAGCTACAATCACATGATAATATCAAACGCTGGTGAGAATGTGGAGCAACAGAAATCACATTCATTGCTGATGGGAATGCAAAATGGAAAAGCCACTTTGGAAGACAGTTTGACAGTCTCTGTACTGCAAAGCTAAGCATTAACTTACCATATGATCCAGCGATCACACAAATAAGGGAGCAAAGGACATTTCTAGGTCAAACTATTCTGTATGATACTAATGGTGAATACATGACATGTATTTGACAGAACCCATAGAACTGCATGACAGAAAGCATGAACCCCAATGTAAACTATGGACTTTAATTAATAATTGATCAATAATGGTTCATCAATTATAACAAATGTAACACACTAACAAAAGATGGTAACAGGGGAAACTGGGAGGGAGGAGGAGGTAAATGTGAACTCTCTATACTTACTGGTCAATTATTCCATAAATGTAAAACTGCCCTTTTTTAAAAAAGTCTATTAAAAAATACTAAAATAACCCTTTAATTCAGACCCTGAGGTTCTATATGAAATTCTCCTGAGAATATGCAAATGCATGATCAATGGTGTAATAGATCAACAGATCTGCCTTTGAATGCCATCTTCACTGCTTATTGATTATATGTCCTTGGCCAGGTCTTGTAACCCAACCTCTGAGCTTCAACATTTTTATGTGTAAAATGAAAAAATTATCACCTTTCTCACAGGTTAACTAAATTAAATTAGGTAAATATACGTGAAGCACCTAGCAAAGGTACACTGAGTAGGTATGTAAATGTTTGTTCTTTTCTTATTTTCCCCCAAATTCTTTCTAACTGAGGCAAGACAGGATATATCCTAACTCAATCAGTGTTTCTCAAATCGGGGTACCTATACCCTTAGATATACATGCAACCATTAAATAAATAAAACACCTCATGTCTTCCAGGAGTTCAAGATTTGAGGGATGAAAGATAAATATTTTAAATGGTAATTAAAAGCACTACTAAAATAATGTTGCTATAGCAGAATGTTTATACTGTATTTCAATATGCAATACAAGACTGTGCCTCAATTAGAACTTAGGCCATATTCTCAAACTTCCAGGACTACTTCTTCACCATCTTCTGCCATTTGATATATTTCCCACACTTTTCCACTAATTTTAATTATGTTACTAAACTCAAGTTTATTTTCTTCTCAATACCAGTCATATGACAAGTGTCTCCAACAAGCCTGGTTATCTTTAAATTAGTAAATACAACCTGAAAAATAACATTTTATACTTACACAACTTAATATACAATTTAAAGTCAGAATTAAGAAAGTAAACCGAAAATAACTTAAATTGAGACTGTACTTTTCCATGATTTCCCAAGGTTGTGGCTATAACATTGAGTCAATTCCTTTGATAAGCTGTGCAAAATACACATACTTTGCATATACAGACTACTAGCCTAATTTTTAGAAACAAAATACTTTTTCATATCACTATAATTTCTCTGCCTAGGAGAATCTCAACATGCATAAAATCAAGCACTTTACTGGATAAATATTTAAGGAGAAAGTGGTATGAGTATTCCAGGCCAAAGGTAACAGAAGGTCATGTGTTATAATAGCCCAGACAGAGCACATCTGTAATGTGCTGGTTTGGTGTCACACACTTACAGAAACTGCAGTACGCTCACAGATCTACAAAAAAATTTTTTTTTTTTTTTTTTTTTTTTTTTTTTCCTGAGACGGAGTCTTGCTCGAGACGTACTCGCCCAGGCTAGAGTACAGTGGCACGATTTCAGCTGACTGCAAGCTCCACCTCCCGGGTTCTCACCATTCTCCTGCCTCTGCCTCCCTAGTATCTGGGACTACAGGCGGCCGCCACTACGCCCGGCTGGGTTTTTTTTATTTTTAGTAGAGACGGGGTTTTACCGTGTTAGCCAGGATGGTCTCAATCTCCTGATCTGTGATCTGCCTGCCTCAGCCTCCCAAAGCGCTAGGATTACAAGTGCGAGCCACTGTACCCAGCCCATCTACAAAATCTTTAAGGATCTCAAAAGCATGCTACATGAATAAGAGGTAAGAATATGGGGATACTTAATATGTAGAAGACTTGGGCTTGGAATTGATGGAAAAGTAATAGCTATCTTGAAGGCTGTCACATTTGAAAGGGATCAGACTTGCTCTGTCGTCCCAAACTAGGATCAACAAGAAGCAGCAAGTAGTAAAGTGGTACATCTGGTAGTGAAGAGACTTGAGTACTACAATTTGTTTAAAAATAGTATATTAGAAATGTATGTGGTATTTCTGGATACTAATTATCTTGTATGTAAAATAAAGGTGCTAAGCTAGGTAATTCTAAAGTAATTTTCAAGTAAAAATGGTATGGGAGGGGGGGGCTAGGCGTAGTGGTTCACTTGAGGGCATGATTAGCCAGGCATGATGGCTGATGCCTGTAATCCCAGTACTTTGGGAGGGTGAGGCAGATGGATCACTTGAGGTCAGGAGTTGGAGACCAGCCTGGCCAACATGGTGAAACCTCATCTCTACTAAAAGTACAAAAAATTAGCTGGGTGTGGTGGTCCATGCCTATAATCCCAGCTACTCATGAGGCTGAGGCAAGAGAACCACTTGAACCCAGGAGGCAGATGTTGCAGTGAGTCGAGATCATGCCACTGCACTCCAGCTTAGGCGAGAGTAAGACTCCGTATCAAATTAAAAAAAAAAAAAAAAAAAAAAAAAAAAAGGCATGGAAGCAAATTCTGAATCAACTTCTTAGCAAAGAGTGTCCCTTCCCAGCACTTTGGGAGGCCGAGGCGGGTGGATCACCTGAGGTCAAGAGTTCAAGACCAGCCTGGCCACCATGGTGAAACCCGGTCTCTACAAAAATAGAAAAATCAGCCGAGCATGATGGCAGGTGCCTGTAATCCCAGGTACTCAGGAGGCTGAGGTGGGAGAATCACTTGAACCCAGAAGGCGGTGGCTGCAGCAAGCTGAGATTGCGCCACTGCACTCCAGCCTGGGCAACAGAGCAAGACTGTCTCCAAAAAAACAAACAAACAAAAACAGTATCCTGAATGTACATGGAATCAGCTATGAAATGCTAAGTTCTATAACAAAGAACTTAGCAAAGATAATGGTGGCATATTGATTCACATTATCACTTTTTCTACATCAAAGTAAAATGGAATAAATAGCAAATTATTTTAATAAAGGCCAGGCCAGGAGCAGTAACCCATGCCTGTAATCTCAACATTTTAGGAGACTGAGGAGGGAGGATCACTTCTCAGCCTGGGCAACATAAACTCCAACTCTGCAAAAAGATACCAAAAACAGCTGGGTACAGTGGTGCATACCTATAGTCCCAGCTTGAGAGGCTGAGGTAGGAGGATCACCAGAACCTGGGGAGGTTGAGGCTGCAGTGAGCCATGATCGAGCCACTACACTCCAGCCTGGGCAACAGAATAAGACCCCGTCTCAAGGGGGAAAAAAAAAAAAAAAGGCAGACATGGCAGTGCATGCCTATAGCAGAGAAGGCTGAGGCAACAGGATCACTTGAGGCTAAGAGTTCCAGGCTCCAGTGAACTACAGTGGTGCTACTGCACTCCAACCTAGGTGACACTGTGAGACCTTGTCTCAATAAAAAAATAAATAAATAAAAAAAGCCAAAAATGTCCACTAGCAGTTGTTTTTAAAGAACTCAAAAACATGATGAAGGATTATTGCATTTTTCGATGTTATCCTCTATTGAGTAAATTACACTAGTAATTTAATTGTAGCGGGAAAAGTCCTATTTTCCTACCTTGTCCATATTCAATATTGCATTTTGCTTCGTTTCTAGATATACTGATTATTCTAACATAACCCTTTGAACCTACTTATTCCCTAGAGAATAATAGTATATCACTTTCTCCCGTCAATTATTTTATATACCAGGCAACAATGTTATTTCTTGATCCTCAGGACAAGATTTCTGAGTTACAGTGTTGAGTAAATGTTTACAGAATTCCTTAATTTCTCAAACCAAAATAAAAGTTACAAAGTTGAGCAATTGTTTTCTAAGTTCTAGGTATTATTTAATAGAAACGGGCAAAACGAAACCGTACTTTCCTTTTGCTTTGCCAAAACCTGCAAAAACTTTTGCCAAAAATATTCCAGGCAATAATCTCATGAAATATGTACTCAACTTACCAAAGTACAATATTTTTATAGTGCTCAAGCTTGAGAAATTAAATATGAGTCATAAATACTAAGAGAGCAGGGGTAAGAAATGCCTTGGAATATAGGAGGCTACATATACAAACAGTACAATGTCTGTGGACATGTTTCTAAATGCACTCCAAAAACATACAAAAACAAATTTGTGGTTTATCAATTTCTCTTGAGAGTTTTAAGAAAAATTACTTTCCTAATTCTACATCTGTCTGAAAACCCATGGATACCTGTTGTTTACATTATAATTCAAATATTAAACATATTTTGAATATTTTTCTTCCTATGCCATACCTTACCTCTTGAGCAAAGATCCCTTTGATCATAATTCCTGAAAACTCCAGTGAATACTTCAAAGTTCACTAACATTTTTACTGAAGTAATCTAATTACCTTAGATGTATACATTAGTGGAAAAATCACTCCAGAATACCTAAGTACTTAATTTTGAAACAATCTTTCACATTTCAGGACTAAAGTACTATGAAATATTATTGTTAAAGGGAAACAAAAATACCTGGATAAAAATAAAGCAAAAAATTGCTTAGGACATCTAAGCACTGACATTTGTCAGACTACTTCAACATGGCAAAGAAAATAAGATCTGTGTACATATTTACAATAACCTATTAAGTCAGGATTTTGCAGTCACACTGCTTGTCATGTTTACTTTTTTTTAACAGAAGCTACAAAAAAAAACTTTGTTTCCTTACTAAAGAACAATCAAAACAGATTTTTATACTAATCTAGTCAGTGATGGTTAAACCATAAGCCTATGTTCCTACACCTTGAAAATACAATGGTAAGCCAAATTCAACATTCTGTAATATTTTTATTTTGAAGGTTACTGATGATGTAGAGAAGAGTCTATGTTTTAAAAATTATTTTTAAAAACTCATGTCACCATTATCTTTGCAATATTTTTCAGGTTTCTAATACAGGGTGTATTTTAACTTCCATGCCTACCCTACCCTTTCATACACATATAGGAAAAGTTATGGATTTCTTTTATATTCAAATAAAATACAGCCTTTCATTGACATATACTGTGTCTGTAAACCTTTTAAAAGCTTTAATTCTGAAAACAAAATTTTGTCCACAGAATCTTTACATTTTTTTCCAAACTTACCAGGTTAATAAAGCCAAGAATGTTAGCTTCCTTTCTTTCCCCCACCCCCAATACAACAGCTATTCTAAATCATAACTGCCTTTTAGAAATTTGATTTTTTTCAGAGTATAATTTCTTTTGGGAGCCAAATTATTACATTTTAATCCACCAACTGTCACTAATTCAATCTTTATTTCTTGCCTAGGACCCCATCTTAACATTATTTTTAATTTTGGGGGTCTACTTCTTCAGTAACTTTTCTTCAACTCTGAAAGGAAATCCTCTAGCTTCTAAGCAAATCCTGCATAGAAAAGGTAAATTGTTCCTGTGGCTTCAATTAAGTTAAATTATATAGCTATAAAAACAAGAATCAATAAAAGTAAATATTACCCTTTCCATGCTGTCTTGATAAGATTTAAAAACAAGAGACTATGAGATCAAGATTTCTCCTTCTACAATTATTTGTGCAAGTAGAACACTAAAATACAAAACATTTTTCACTTCAACAGTTCTTATGAATTGCATAGTCCCTAATCAGCCATTATTTTCAAATGTTCTTCTGGGTAAAGGAACTGTTTTTGGATGCTATTCTATAAGAGTTATATTTTGATCAATCTAGCATCAAAAGACTTGGCCAAATTACTCTTGATATTTACAGTATCAACTCAAGAGAGTTTTAATGGTTTGCAAAATTGATGTACAAAAATTGCATCTAAAAAAATCCAATTCTGGAAACAAAGGTAAGATGATGCTAATCAGGAAAATGCAAAAACATACAAAACAAATCACCTATTTCATACATTCACTGGTGACCCCCACGAAGAATCACTTTAACAGTTCAAAAAAGTTTTTTCTGGGGAAAAAAAAAATGTAACATACAGAAAGGTAGAATATATATTCAGAAATACTTAGAGAAAGACACTTAAAATTAAAATACATTTAAAAATACTGTTGCAGTTTTCAGTTTCTACTCCTGAAACAGAAATAAGCCATTATCAGTAAGTGCATTTTTTTCATGGAGAAAATATTTATTAGATTTTAAATTATCACATAATACAGATATTACACAATTAGTCATTCTAGAAAAAAGTTTATATTAATATTCATAAAGTAAACACTGAAAAATATAGGACTTCATTTTGTGACATAAAATATAAAAAAATTCAAAGGTAAATTCACCAAAAGTTTAAATAAACAAATCAGTTCACAATAATATACAAAAAGTTTCACTTTTAAATAAATAGCTTGTAGTGGCATGAGGTGACTAGAAATGCACTTACATTTCTTTTTGCATATTTTAAGGAACAGAGCTAAAATTCAATCAAAGCATGAGATTAAGAGATTAAATCACTTTTCATCTTCAAAGCTGAAACAAGAAGCTTATAATCTCACAGGCCACACAAAGTGGTTTGTACTTTGGTTCAAAGAATTCAACTAACTTAATTTCCAAGCAAATCTCATTTTTAGTTCCTTCAGTTCTTCCTAAAATGATTAACAGTTGTTTTTAAATTTATATGTGCTTGTAAACCAATTGTCTTATTAACATTTACTAAAAACAAGTCAGGAGTAAAAAGCTGTAATCATTTATGGGAATTCAAAGCTCTCTGGGGAAATTTCAGTTCAAATTGATCCTTTAAACTTACTTTTAAGTACTATACTTACAAAAATTTATTTATAATGATAAAAAAATACAGAGAGCCAAGAAAGACTAAGTGCAGGTTATGCTTTAGCAAACGTGGCTTCTAAAACTTTTGAGATTTCCTAAAACATTTTAGCTGCTTCCATATTAATAACTCTAGAATATCTGTTCTTAAAATGTATAACAAATTTAACAAACTGGCAGCATTATGTGACTTTAAAAATTTTCTTTAATAGCTTTTGACTGACCAGTTAATAGATACCAAAGAAAGAGAGAAACAGAAATATTTTGATAACTACTTCAATCAATTAATTGATGGCTTGGATAAATAACTATTTTGCAACACTTATTCCTTCACACCTACAGGCTTATTCTAATACTAAGTGCCTCTGCTCTGTAAACTACTGTTTTGTGTATTATTCAAACTTTAGTATGCCTTTAGTGTGAAAAAAAAATACCTCAAGTTTAACAGGTAGCTATTACTTTAGAGGACAGACCAAGCTACTTCCATCTCAAGAGATATTTCTTCTACTTCTCTGTTAGAAACGTTGATTTGACAATTATAATAAGGCTCAAGACCACCAAAGATGAGCTAAAAGAGTATATCCTAATATTAAAAGCAGTTTTCAAATAATTAAGAAGTTCACCCTTTATTTACTAGTTACTTTCAGTGTCAAGCAACAAAAACAACCATTTCATTAAGTTTTCTGGACTTCCTCTACTACTTAAAAAAACGTTTGCCTACTTCATTAAGGTGATTTTCAATCCCACAAATCTTTTAAATGAAACAGATACAGAGAGCTGCTTTTAAAAGAAAGGAGTCTCTCAAGCTTCCTCTATTTCAGTCTTCTGAATAGAAAGAAATATTTTCATGGCCATGTAAAATTCCAATCTGAAAAGATTATTTCATTATTTGAGCCTTTCCATTTTCAGACCAAAAGTAATTCTTAAAAGTTTATAAATGACAAGATCAGGTGGCTGGCTCATCCTTGTGTCTTCTAGACATATTGCATGGATCCATTCACCACTGCCTTCCAAACTGCAGGTGCTGGCATGTGTGACAGATATCATCCATGAAGGCTCTGCTAGAAGAATTCCTTTTGCTGAAGAAGTATGATGTTTTACCAGTTGAAAGAAATCTGGGCAATTAGAGAACAAATAAACCAGTCTCCCATTATCAAGATACCTGGAGTCACAGAAGGAATCCACCAAGGAAAAATGAAAACTTGCCAAAAGGTAACAAGTTCACATTCTACCCATTGTAGGTGATAAGAACTTCCTGGAATCAAATCCTACCCTTGGCATCAAAGAAACTAAGAGAAAACCATCTTAATGCCATGGGTGAAATCTAGGAAAGGGTTCTTTTACCACAAATACTTATTCCTAGGGACTAAAAAATGACTTTTGAGTATATTAAACATAGCTTTCAGGGATATTGTATCCTGAAACTTACATTCATTCATACTTATCTTTTATTAAAGAATGAAGCCTAGAATTGACAGTAAAACCGTAATAGTACTATCATTGCATCTTTTAAAAGATCTAATATGAAGTCCTAACATTTGAGGTAGGAAGAAGACCAAAAGGTTCTCACTAACAGGGTAGGATAACACCTGGACATCTGACTGTATAAATTAGACTTCAAATGTCCAGTTTGCCCAAAGATGAAATACAGAACCTTTTAAATTACTGGAATATAAAGAGCACTTAGAAGTCCACTAATACCATAAAGGCCAAAATGGGTAGATATTCCCTTTTTAAAATTCCTGTGGACTACATAGGCATTCGTCAAATCATGTGCCCCAAATCATCCACTGCTTTAATTATCTGGAGAGAAAATTAAATTTTAGGTCTCATTTTTGAATGAGTACTAGTTAGCATTCTTAGAAAAACAAACAGATTGCAGTCCCACCTGGTTCTTAAATGAACCCAAGGAGTTTACCATAGAATTAAATGGGCAATGGAAGGACACTCCAATCTATAAATTAACCCAAGTAAATAATGGAAAGCACCCACTTGTTTATTATCCTTTCCCACTCTCTCCAGAAGCTGGATATTCTGTCTCCAAGGGTTCAGTGGAGAAAGTGGACCCCTGACGTCAAAAGCTCTCCGTGGTCTTGGCTGTATCTGTGGTTCTAGGATCACTCCTTGCACCTCTGGTAGGAGAGAAGCACTGAAATAGAGAGCTGAATATAGATTTAAGAAAAAATTCTTATTAAGAAATTACATTCTCTGGTCATTTGAGTTTGTAATGGCTTATCCTCAGGATAAAAAGAGCTACCTTTGGGCATACTTTCTTTAGTGCCTTCTTCATTTGAATTTTAGAAGTCTGTCACCACAAATGATTAATTCCTCAGTAACTATTAAGAAAGGACCTGTATTGGTCTAAGCCATAACACACTCTGTGATAAACCACTCAACTTTGAGTGGAAGACCAAATCAAAAATGATAAATTATGACTGGAAACAAGATCATAGTTGTCTTTAAGGGACAGGGAAAAGGCACGCAACCTCAGATATATCAAAGGAGGAGTCCCAGTTAATTCTTCTGTCAAAGAAAAGAAGATGGACTGAAAAGTAGAAACAGAAAAAAATCAAGCATATTAACAGGAATACTACTAAACTTTGGGAAAGTCTAAGAAGCTGAATTTCTTCTCTGAGTTCAAGTCTTCATTAACTTAAAGAATTAATCACACTATAGGCCCGTATTACAGCAATACAAAGCTAAGCCTGTATTTTATCAAAACTTATGACTACTGTCACTGAAAAGATTTATTCAAGCACTCAGCTTTAAAACTGGGAAGGCAGAATAGTGAATATAGGTAATACAGACTCAAAATCTTTTTTAAAATGCATAATCATTTTCTTTTGGGTCAAGAAGAACCAGGAATAATCATTAATGGCTATAACATAGAAATTAAGGCAGTAAGATATACCCAAATTACAGATGATGGCAAAGATACTAGAAAATAGTTAGCTTTATTATAGGAATAAGGTAAATAAGAGAAGGAAGTTCAAAGCACATAGCATCTGATCAAGGAAAAGCTGAAAGGAGAACAAGATAGGCAGATACATATTTAAAGTTACAGGGACTGCAGGATAAATTTTAACAGTGTTGCCTTTGGAAAACAGATCAATTATGCTTTGTGGTACAGAGTAATACATCCCTATTAAATTTCAGATCTTATTCTAAATATAATGGTGCTGCATATCCTTGTTCTATGAAATACAGTCAGTCACAGTATCCTATTTCTGGGACATGTTATATTTTGGGATAAAGTTTTTATAAAATGCTATCAAGTAATCTCCCTCTCATACCAACTGTTTATCACAAGGGTTCCTTACCTGTTAGTGGAACGAGGATTGTGTTCTCTTGTTCTCTATCAATCAACCAACAAAGGTTATAGTCTCAGCACTAAGAATGTAGCAACCAACCAAAGTTAGTGTTTTTAATGCCTTCACTTCCTCCTGGCTCTGCCAGCCAGTTTGGAAATGTATCAAAAGCTGAAAAGGAATGGTTATTCCATTACCTAACAACATTCAGACTAAGTATTTTTAAAAGCTTAAAGATGAAAAGAATGAGCTAACCCTTCTGCAGAGGAACATACCCAATTCCGTACAAATGAGAAATGAAGACAGTTTGACCTAAGTAAAGAAAATCTATTAATTTAACCATCAAATCTGCAATTACCAAATATTAAAGAAAAGAAAAAAGAAATTGGAAAGAAGGTGAAACTGCCACCTAACAAGAGGTATCAAATAATTACGAAAGTACTTTATGCACCTAAGTGGCAGCTATTGTTTCAATTTAAGTTTCCAATAGATTTTAAGTCCAAAAGTCTTTTAGTATTTAAAAGAGTGTATTCTTTAGATCAGTAGGCTTTAAAAAGTATTTTACAGTATAATCACAATGAGGAGGTATATGACGGATGGTAAGAAGAAAGGAATACAAATTAAAAAAGGATCTGAATACTGAATCTTAATAAATGCAATCTAATTAAGTGGTTTCAAGAGCCTAAAAAACTCCCGAGTAGATTAACAAAGCATTCCACAGCTGGAGTTGTTAAGGAGTGGCACTTTAACAGATGAAAAAGGCTTAAAATCAGTACATTGGAGCTATCTACATACATTTTCACTGTACCTATATGGTGCAAATAGGTGCTACAAAAGTGCTTTAAACAGTCATCCTCTAGTCTTTTCTAATCAATTTCCTTGACAAATTATTCTTTTTCATATAGTAATAGCTCAGTATTAACAGTGAAAATTATCTAAGATTTCTAAATTAATGAAATCTAAGTAAAACTTAACTACTTTAAAATAGTTTAAAACCTATTCAGAGATTATAATTAAGATATGATTTTCCAAATTTCCTTTAGTTTCCAATAGTTAACTTTTCAATAGTTTTCCTTTGGTTCTTGAATACTAATCAATAATAACATATAAGTGAGTGAAAATACAGGCAAAAAGAAAGAGGTACATTTTGAAATAGAAAATATACCTGGTAACTTTCATTTTTAAGTTTACAGGCCTACTTCACTTTGAAAATGAAAAACAACTCCCAAAAAACCAGATCTTGCTCAGATTAATATTAGTCTAAATTTAGAATTTCTCCTACAGCAGGAACTTTACATTAAATGCATCCAAATCTTTATCATACACCACAGTATAATATAGATTAAAAGTACAACAAACTTAGATTTTAAAAAACCAAATGTCGTTAGGTTAGGTTACACAGCAAGTTAAATATGAGAGCTCGCCGGAGAAAATGAATCTTTACAAACTTCCCCTAAGTCAGAACACTTTCAGAATATAACTTATTTATTTTGCCTGAAGTACCAAAACATCCTAATTCAACACTCATACTCAGAAATGAATAAACAGATTTCTCTAAGTAGAAATTATTTTGAAATCACTGAGGAGAGGCGGTATCTCTTCTGCTTTAAGAGTTAATAATTTATGAAGACTCTGAATTTGATAATGTATCATTTATATAAAAAACGTAAAGATGCTTTCAAAATGACGTCATTATTTGAACAAGAAAGAGCAGCCTTTGTGAGATTATTATTGATGGAAACTCCTAAAAATGATACAGGAAGCCCTTACCTAATTCTATTTTAGTGGACAACATTCTTCTATGTGATATTTTAAGAGGGAGAAATATTTTTTCCACTGCAAGACTTACATTTCAACCACTAGAGAAAAAATTTCAAACCAAAGCTAACAAAATGAGCAATGCTGAGCTGCTACCTCAAATGGCTGTCATAGATCTATTAACCTACCAGTACATCAATGAAATCATTTTAACATTTTCTGTAAATAATGAAATTTTTAAAGATTCTTACTGAAAATCCATGTATATTCAAATCAGAAACAGTATTTTATATATAAATACCACTGAGAAAATGTTATGAGAAGTACATCAAATTAGGCTGTTTGCAATATTTGTTCTCAATATTAAATTATTAAATGAGTATACGCAGCTTATTAGTTTTAAGCATTTCTAATATCTAAGCATAAGGGAAGGCTACACCTCTTTAAGCTATGAAATAGAAGGTACTATGTTTCTACAAAGACCAATTTCTACTCAAACGTGCTACAACTGACCGATCTAAAGTTGAACTTAATGGTTTATAAATTTACCGATTATTCATTAACCTGGACATTCTACATACATTGGAAGCATCTTTTTATTCTTTACCTATTATTACCCATTCATACTGGTTCTAAGGCACTTCTACAAAGAGAACAAATTTTTCACAAATTCCTCTAAGTATCCAAAACAGTCCTAGCTGGCAGTAAGAAGAAAAGGAAAGAACATGCTTAACAGAAGCAGTGTGTCTTTTATCTCCAGCCCCTAGAAAAGTGCTTGGCACATGGAATAGGTAACTCAGTAAATGCTTTACAAATAAGTTACTGATCAAAAAACAAAGAAGAATTTTGTCAAGTGGTTGATATCTAAAGTAGACACTGAAAAGTTCAACTTTCTAATCCTACAGAAAACAAAAAATTTATCAAAAGTATAAACTTTCAGCCAGGCACCACGGCTCACACTCACAATCCCAGCAATTTGTGAAGCTGAGGCGGGCCAATCACCTGAGGTCAGGAGTTCGAGACCAGACTGGCCCACATGGTGAAACCTGTCTCTACTAAAAATACAAAAAATTAGCTGGACATGGTGGCGCTCGCCTGTAGTCCCACTACTTGGGAGGCTGAAGGAGGATAATCGCTTGAGCCTGGGAGGCGGAGGTTGCAGTGGGCTGAGATCGAGACACTGCACTCCAGCCTGGGCGACAGAGCAAGACTCCGCCAATCTCAAAAAATAAAAAATTAAAAAAAAAAAAAACTTTCGTGGATCCATCTCTTTTTGGGGTTGTCAACTTCTAAGGATTAATTTTTTAGTATAGTTAGCAGAATTTCAAAGGTATTATCCTGAGATGACACAAATGTTACCCAAATTGCAACAATGATTACAGATTTCTGATATTATTTTTCAGAGATTTAATAGTATGAAAACCAGATACTGCCAGAATATCCAATTTCAAAAAGGGAGATATCTTACCCCATAACAAAACAAAATGGTGGGGGAAAAAAAAAAACCTAACCAAGTTCTTTGGAATTAGTTAACTAAGGTATTGTATTGGAGGTAAAGATTATTTCTTAACCATAAAGCTTATGTGTATTATCAAATGGAATATACATTTAAAAAAAAAATAGGGAAGACTCTGAGCAAAGTTGTGTGTTAAAAATAATTTTTTTAATTAAAAAAAAAATGGGAAGGAAGTCTGAACTTAAGGGGCTGAATACCATCATGAGGATATGTGCCTAATCAAGGACATCAATTTCCTAAAAGAGAAGAAAACTGTAATGAAAATAGAAAAACCTAACTATTAAAGCATTTTTGGAACTCAACATCTCGCCAAATTCTATTATCAGTATATTTTCTCTTCATCCCTTTTGGAAAATATACCATCCAAAAATGTTACTGGTATTCAAGTTAGTCCACTAGATATAAGTATCAAATATTTGTGAAAAGACAAGCAACAGATAACCCAAATGTGTTCATGCTCCACTAAGGTAGAAGATGAAGTAAAACAGATGAAAAAGAAACGATCTACAATATATATATTTTAGAGTAGTTAATCCACTACAGAACAAAAAATAAAAGGCAATCATAGAAACACAGTTGC